GTTCCGGCTAAACAAGATCCCAAGAGGGAACACACGAATTATCATATCTGCATCAAATAAATCCGATTAGCATCCGTCAGTTGACATGCTGTGTACAATAGAAGTTGTTTATCTAATTAGAGGCGTGTAATATTTCCGCGAGTGAGTCGGGTAGATGATAAAATCAATAATCTGACTTCTTTAGAATTAGTATTATTTGATTTGCGAGAGGAGGAAGATGTGTGTAACATAATAAGGAGTTTATATTTTTACGTATTTTCGTATTTTTTCAACGACTGCTTTTGACATTACAAAAATGAAAGCTTTCACGGGTAAGAGTTTAATATTTACTTAATTGTATTAAGTTTAATGTTTCAAATGTAAATCAACTATATTGGTACTTTGTAATGAACATTACTGATTTATAAGTTAAACAGTTAATTTTATTGTATAGAAAACCTTAAAACACCATCTTCTAAACTATTTCCATGTTTATCTTGAAATTAAACAAATAATAAATAATAAAGAGGAAATAATTCACAAAGCCACGTCATTTGGACTGTGATGGACAGTTGTTTTATTGGCAATCATGAAACCACAAATTATTATTATATATAATAGACCATATAATCCTTTATGTAAGACATGTGTATTGTTATAATTTTATTAATATTTTAGAAGTGAAATTTGACTTATTACTTTATTTGGGAAAGACGTCCCTTTGAAACATTTTTTGACGGAATAACAGGGGGTTCTTGAGGGACAGTTGTCTTTATTTGGCCATTGCTATACAAAATTGGTAAAAGATAAGATTAGATGGACTCTTTTATGGCGAGTTGGTTTACTGTTCTATCTTCTCTATGTGTGAACTGTTACCGTAGTATACAATGAGACGTGTAGATTTACAGGTTCCTTTATCAGTATTATGTTTGATAACATTTTATTCTTCGAGCATTAGAAATCCTCGCTATCCATTCGTAGAAGCGATAACGTAATCCTAAGTCAATCTTAATGCCCTGGCCCCGAGCATTATTTAAGAAACATTAATTGTCGAAATGCGTATCTGGTGCAGAAAGATTGGCATGCCGTTAATGTTATTGGCTAGCCTATTCTCACTAACGGTTACCTTATTTTAACTACCTAACACCAAGTACCTAGTACAATCTAAGCAGGTATAAACACCAATTACCCAGTATAAGTAACCAGTATTTGTACTATGATATATTGTGTATCAAATTCACAACAATGGACTCGATTCTGTCTTTGACGTACTATCGCTAGCTTGATACACCTTATTGTTCGCTGGCTTATTGTTCGCTAGCTTGAGTCTGGTCACACGACCAGCAAATACGGGGAGGGGGCAATACCAGTTTTGTGCAGGCATTATTTTGTCCTGAAAAATATAGCTTATCACTATACATGCTATACTATTCAATAGTATAAACATAGTAATAATTCTGCATTCTGTATTTTGAGCAAAATTCAGAACATAAAATACTGAAATTCAAAAGTGAACCCAAGTCTATGTTATAGGATAAGACGACATTGCGACTATAACACGGTGGGAAAACATCAATAAAACCCATGTTTACAGGAATATACAACCGTGTCATAGTTATTCATTATGTCGGCCTATACTTACATTCTACATCCATTTGTCTTAAAAAAAATTTGTTACTTAAAATGTCAATTCAACACGACTCAGCTTAAAAATGATCTGAATTAATTGTCCTCGTGATTTTAATGTTTTTCTTTCTGAAAATGGCTGAAGACTAATGTAAGTACTACAATGCTCAATTTACCATAGAATGATTGATTGACTGTTGGCTTAGGGACGACATCAAAAGATCAATGTAGGATAAAAAACTTAAATCAAATAGTTTGGGGGTGGGGGTTAAAATTGCTGCAAGTTTTGTTTATCCAAAATCGATTTTACATATATCCATATTGGTCAATCAACTTTTCCCAAATTAAGTTAAGAGGGGGGTGGGGGGTCAGTGAAAAAACTACGTGAATTAAGTTTTTTATCCTACATTGAACTTTTGATGTCGTCCCTTAACGTCCAATGAATTTACCATAAACAAAAGACAAAATGCCTGCAACGCTTTAATAAAAAAAAGAAATTGTCAATGATGAATCAAATAGATCATTTTGCATAGCTTTTTGTCTTTTTTTGTAAAATAAATTGAAGGGAAATATAGTATTAAGTAACCTATTTGAGAGTGATTATTTTAGTGAGGGAAATGCTAGAATTTCTGCGAGAAACATGTACTCTATCAATATGATAAACCTGTCTGGTGATTTTGTAATATTTACATTAATAATTAAATACACTAATCATTTGAGTATGTTAACATGTTGGTCTGTGTAATCATGTTGATTTGTGTAATCAGGATTTATTGATGTAACATATGGGATAACGTGTATTGACGTTAGATATAGATTTCCTATGGATCGACAAAGATACGTATATGTTACCCACGACAAATCAAGGCTAAGATACATGTAAATCTTTCAACAACGTTCAATAAATATGTTCGAACAAGTTTTAAAATGTATTGAATCTGTACATGATGTAGAATAGAGATTGCATATATTTTCATATGTTAAATGCATGAACAATAAAGACAGTTTTGTATTAGGAAAATGTCGACTTAAGGAACAAATTATTGTAAAAAAGTTTTAGACAATCTAGTGAAAAAGTGTCTGATATAATTTTTAAAATTTTCATGAAGAAAAAATGTGCAAGAGGGAAATGATGGTTTAAAACTTAAAAAGCTCGCTACCATATATATGAAATAAAACAATTGAACAGGTGCCACACGTGGATCTAGAACTGCTAACCCTTAATTCCTAAGCATCTGAGCTCACCTTCGGTTTTACTCTGTTGTTTTGTATAACAAGTATTGTAGTTCGTCTTTAGGTCGATATTCGTTGTTTTGCCATGGCGTTGTCAGTTTATCGTCGACAGAGTTTTGAATATGTCCTCGGTATCTTCCGGCTCTAATTTGAAAAGTTTTGAATGTGTCCTCGGTATCTTCCGGCTCTAATTTGAAGAGTTTTGAATATGTCCTCGGTATCTTCCGCCTTTAATTTGAAGAGTTTTGAATGTGTCCTCGGTATCTTCCGGCTCTAATTTGAAGAGTTTTGAATGTGTCCTCGGTATCTTCCGGCTCTAATTTGAAGAGTTTTGAATGTGTCCTCGGTATCTTCCGCCTCTAAGTTGAAGAGTTTTGAATGTGTCCTCGGTATCTTCCGCCTCTAAGTTGAAGAGTTTTGAATGTGTCCTCGGTATCTTCCGCCTCTAATTTAAAGAGTTTTGAATGTGTCCTCGGTATCTTCTGCCTCTAATTTGTAACATATGTAAACCGCACTATAATGCAGTGATTTGTTATGAACTTCCGATATTTCGTGTTCATTTTCCCAAATTAAAATTACTCATTCAGAGGTACAGGAAAGATTTGAGGAGCTTTTGAGTCTCAAAATATATTCAATACATATCATACATAAAAATTTAAAATCTGTATTGCGACATATAGAAATGATTCACAGAAATTGATATTTATTAAAATGTTATTACTTTTGCTATGAATTTACGCATAATGGCGTCACACAAAAAAACATCGCACGATTAAAAAGTATTGCAATTAGTTGTCCTTATTTCAACCATCTGTCATATTTTTACAGACAACTTCTGTTCAAGCGAGAGATAAATGGCATAGTATGTATATTGCAGTTCCCTAAAAATGTCGGCGAGCATTGCGAGTTATTTGATTTCTATCGTGTTAATTAAATGCAATGTACATGTTTATAACTTATTCCGTAACCTTCAACCTAATTTGTGGTCTAATTTAAAATTATTAATGACAATAATTTGTGTTCTTAAGAAATGTAATGTGAAAACTATCATGGACATTAATTAGATTTTATCGACTGACCAATTTGTGGAAAGATTGGTGGAGATATCCATCTGGAGTGTGACAGATGGCGGATTGTACAGATGATTTTAAAATTATAAATTCAAACACGAGTATCTAAAAATGTAGTGGAAAATTAAATGTTATTAAACACATTTTCTGCGTCCAAAGCGCTTTTCTGGATTAACCTTCTTCAGAAACGCCCAAACTCCAAAAGTTGATACCCAAGGATGTTAAAATACCGAAACACGTCAAAAAATATATGACCAAAAGAAATTGTCAAATCAAACTTTTCAGAGGGAGTTAAAACCGTAGTTTCTTAACAATTTATAAATTTATTATCGAAGAATTTAGAAATAATTTTCTATATCAAAATAAATCATTCAAACTCCTCAAAATTTATTGCCGTGTTTAAACTGTCATCAGATCAACCCACTTAAAAATAGCCTGAGATAAATTATTTTTCATTGAAATATATCTGAACTTATTAATAAGTTTGCTAATTTTGCCTCGTTTTCATAACAATATTTGAACGCTTTGAGGCTAAAACATTGGTCTGATGTTGATTTATTATCAGTGTATAAACTCTTATGCAATATTATGATTTTAAACCGATTAAGGTACAGATAAAGGCCGACAAATTCCAGATGATCGAACGTTCGGACCCCTCCGGCTATTGAGGGTGTATACGATTTTAAACTTGATGACAGGATGATATGCGAGATTTATCTGTTTTTGTACAAATTCCCCAGGATCCAATCATAAAGTACATATTTTTTGTGCGGGAGGGTGCATTTTACTAAAGTTAAATTAGAACGGTCGGGTGTTGTTTTCAAAGCGACAGCTCGCCATATTTGAGGAAAAGGATATACTAATTTTTCATAGAGAAAAACCGTTTATCAGGTTTCTAAACATTACGGCACTATACATTGAACATAATGACTGTGTCCATCATATGACAAAACACGGCGTACCTTGAAAGTGAACTAAAAAACCACCTCTTTGCGACGACTACAGCTACTCGCTGTTAGGTTGATAAATATCTGCATATATATCGTTAAATCTTCAATACCAGTAGCTAGGTACATTTAATCATCTATTGGTATAAAAATACATCTATATAATACATGTGCTGAGGTTATTTCATATTCTCATCTGTGCTGATGTTCTATTAATGTGGGAAAATTAATTAAGAAAATGGCATCATTAAATGTTATAGGACTGACCACCACAATGTTGCCTAGCAACGGTACAGACATTATGGTAAACAAAGAGATGCAGGTTGAAACAGTGATCGTGATTCTTTGGATATCCGGTGGAGTATTACTGATAGCCCTGATTATACTGTTGGCATGTATCCTGAGGACAAACAAGAAAGGCAGAAGACGTTCTAATCCTCTAAGGTATGGATAACATATCTCTCTCTCTCTCTCCCTCTCCCTGATTATACTGTTGGCATGTATCCTGAGGACAAACAAGAAAGGCAGAAATCGTTCTAATCCTCTAAGGTATGGGTTAACTCTCTCTCTCTCTCTCTCTTTGAACTGTTATTACTGTTAGACTTTATACTGAAAACTATCAAGAAAGACGGAAACGTTTTAATTCACTAAGATATGGATACGATTTCTCTCTCTCACCCAAACCGTTTTACTCTCCAGCATTGCTGCAGGTGAATTAAAGTTTGGTAATGCTGTTAATGAAATATAAAAGTTGAAAATTACGAGATTATTTTCTAGTTCTAGTTTCTTGTAGCAAATTGCTTATGTTAGGATGCAATAATTTGCTGTCAAAATATTTTAAACGTTACGTTAAATGACAACCGCCAAGATAAGACCAATCGCCTTTTTAAAAATATTCACTTAATAGGGTTTATATGAAGTATGACATCCCGGATATTATTTCCCTTCCGGATACATTTATTTACTTCTTTTAAAATTTTGATGACACGCCGGTCTAAAGCAAACAAATGAGGTTCTGTTAGTAAAGGGGTTAACAAATCTTTGGCGAGTGACTTCCGCATGATGTCACTTCATAGCTATACTAGTTTTTAAGATGTTTCATAACTGATTTGACAACATTGGTATAATGACGCTAAAATTGACTTTTCATCATGTTTAGTCTTTCCGAATCCTCGGTCATTATATTAATGAAAGTTAAATGTGTTATATCCGAACTCCTTGTACGTTTCGTAATGATGACGGTCCATTTCCTGTTTAAAAGTCAAAAATTCTAGTAATCGTCTGTAGTTATTGTATATCATGTTTATTGGCTCCTGTTTAACTTCATCGCAATAATCACTGTTAGTTTTCCATGATGCCTTTTTTACGTTTGCTATAAGACCGTCGGCATAGATTCAACCACTTTATCCTGTCTGCCTGTAGCAAACGATCCTTCAATCAGATCAGGTTTCCCACATATAGTGTGATTTCATAATTTCAGAAGTCACATTTATTGTACGTCTAACCCGAATAATTCAGTCTCTCCCCGTAATAGATCTTTCCTACTTGCGAGAAAGTAATCGTAGATCAGCGCAATATAACGACTGAATTATTCGGGTTAGTCCTGCTGCTGGTGGAACGCGGTAAAATCCCATCACCCAATCAAGATGGAAAGCCGCTATCTCTGCATGGTGGCGTTCATAACCACTAAAATAATAATGGTCCGGGATCGTTTCGACATCCCTTGCACATCTCATAGGTTTAAATAATGCACTTCAGCCGTTTTGAAATGATAAAACAAGTTTAATCTGAGTCCCTTCGTATATGTAAGAGAATGATAATCCCTTTCTTCATGATTAAGTACGAGCGTCAGCGAGTACTTATCATGAAGTAAGGGATTATTATTCTCTTACAAACTTAGAATATTGTAAAGTGCTCAAGGCTTAAATGATCTCTTGATTGGTTGTATTTAAGAATTAGTTTCATTGTCAGTGCAATGTTTGAAATTAATGCATGACTTCCTTTTTAGGCATGATTTCATTTATGGATTAGTTTTAATGATGTAAGGACCTTCTGATAATTTTGGAAAATATAATAAATTATGTTTTATACATTAGATGACACAACAGTACAATGAAATAGTAAGAAATGTTTCCTGGTTGTGAGTATGAATGTAAATCATGTAATATTTTAGCGAGGAATTATCTTTTTGTTTATTTCCATTTCAAATCAATAAATTCAAAATTTGAGTTACAAATAAATTTTATTTTACAGCCAATATTTTAGTCCAGTCCTTTACATCAAATGCTACTTCATTATGTCAGGGAAATGTTCAAATACAATGCCTTTAGAATAGTTTGAAATATATTCAAAAGTTAAACTAAATTTCCTTTTTTAGAATTTTATCAGAATATTGGAAATTACTATTCTCACCAACCGCGGATCCAGTAACCAATGTTACTGCACCAGTAAACTTCATCTAATTTTGATTTTTTTGTTTTTGTTTCAAAATTCAACTTTTAGTCAGTTTTAATCACAAGTTCTTTCAAGCTGATAAATGTGCTTCGGAGCATTTGTAACTCATTTATAGAAACTCTTTGTTTTGAACTGTAAGTAGGCCTAAACAATAGGATAACCCCTTACTAAGAACATGATTTCATTCATTCTTCACAATTAAGAAACACCAAATCCTACAATTTTATTGGTCGAGAGCACTTTGCTATCTTCTAAGTTCTTTAATTTTGTCCCTACAGTACGTTTGTTTGATATCGTTCAGTAAACCTTTTATGTCCGTCTCCATGGGTTCATATAACGCCGTCTGGTGGATATTTCTTTGAAACTGTAGCCAATTCTTGTTTGAGTGTTTTTACATCACATTACTAAAATTGAATAGTTCGTTTAATAAATAGTCGACGTCAGGGGAGCTATAATAACCAAATTTGACGAGTAACTAGTTTTGACAGTAGGTTACACTTTCAAAGTAAAACTGTCTTTACTCACCGCTTACAAACCGCTCGCCCCGCTACTATAATTTCTTTCATTAAGGTTTGTCCGTCTCACAGACATATGAACACTTTGTGTTCCATTGTTTTTAACGTATTGTGTTCCATTGTTTTTGACGTATTGCGTTCCATTGTTTTTAACGTATTGCGTTCCTTTGTTTTTAACGTATTGTGTTCCATTGTTTTTGACGTATTGTGTTCCATTGTTTTTTGACGTATTGTGTTCCATTGTTTTTTGACGTATTGTGTTCCATTGTTTTTAACGTATTGCGTTTCATTGTTTTTAACGCATTGTGTTCCATTGATTTTTGCGTATTGTGTTCCATTGTTTTTAACGTATTGCGTTCCATTGTTTTCAACCTATACATACTTGTTAAAATAAAATTAACAATTTGCCTTGTAATATGGTAAAAATACTGTACAAAAATACTGTATGACTGAAAACACAAAAAAAACAACAGTACTTTTATACTGCTAACCGACAAACGAAAAAAATGTATAGTATAAAATTTGAAAATACTACTTGCGAGCGACAATGGTATTGTAGTTTGGACAAGTTAGGCCTTTAATGGCCTAATATTAACCGTATTTCGAGGATTAGTGGCCCTCAATGTCCTAATATTACCCGTAATCCGGGAGTTAGTGGCCTTTAATGTCCTAATATTACCCGTATTTCGGGATGCCTTATTGGTAAAGCCAAAGTTTGGGAGTGTATTTTAAGAACTTGTAGAGAAACTTATAATCTTTTTTGGGCTGCGTCAGGGCTGTACAAATCTGGAAGCTGAACTTTAAGACACTGGCAAAGTTTTACTAAATGTAACGAATCATTGTTGTGTGTTAGAGATAATAATAAAACTATTCAATGTATTATTTCAGGCCTGGTGTCTTTAGAGTACTGGAAAGTGCAAATGGTGGAGTCAATCCAAGCTACACGAGTTACGACGAGATTTGGACATGGATTCCAGTTGTCAGGGGCGACGAAGCTTCATGTCCTCCACGCCAGGAAACGTCACGTAACGTAACCATATCACCAGCATCTACGTCACTGGCGTCTAATCTAGAACCACCACCATATAGTGTGGCCATTTCAACGCCATCTAGACCTCACAGCATTCCACGCTATTCATCTGCAGCTATGGCTGTATCCACGGCAACTACCTCGTCATACGGAAATCCGGTTAGTAATATAGCATCTACAGTCTCGATAAGTGCTGATAGGTCAGGTCAAACAATTGTCAATTCATGCTCTCCGGTAATTAGCTCACATGCCCAAAGAGGTAGGCATCACACATCACACAATGCACAAATTACATCAACTTCCGGTCACATATTCACTAGCACTCCTATATCGAGTCCTCGAATTAACCAAAGAGTAATGGGAAGAAACGAACCAATCAGAAACCCTGTGATAAATTCAAACCATGGGAATTCCACTTGTTCTCAGTTTGAAAGAAACCAACGACCCCAAAGTTGTTATGAGCATCCTAACGATGATGTAAGGAGTCCCCTTCCTAACAGACGATCACTTTTTGGGGAAGACCCAACAAGATTATATAGCAATCGGGATAGAATACACAGAAATGATATACCAACTGCTTCCCCTTGCCAGGGAAATACTCAGGTTGAAACGCCACCTTTCACCTATGACCCCGAAGAGGGTGTTTACTCATACCTTGCAGGAAGCATTGGACGACGGATATGGTGTGATATTCCCCCGAGTCTGTTAGACGAGGACGGACCACCACCATACACCCGCAATGCAGATCTTCGTAGTAGGGAATACTACCAGAGAAGACCCCGAACAGATAGACCTGCGCCATTAGTTAGGTACAAGTGCATGCCAAATGTCTGTTGTATGCGCATGTCACAGTCTGAATGTAGCTCGCTGAGTAAATTGCACACCATGTCCTCGATTCTAAATAATTGTTCTGCTGCATGGTTGTTGTTTGTATGTTGATATATTTATGCTTCTTCAACTTCATCCCTAAACACATACCAACAAATCCCATTTGTGATTCTGAGTCCGGACCGATTTATCACCCACAGAATCCCTTATCAAGCCCTAATCTATAAATTCGATTTGGGAAAGTTTTTTGTCAACTACTGAGTTACTCATCTCGAACCGGCACCTTCACGTCTGCAGCAAAAATCCGTACACCGGAAGCAGAGAAAACATATATTTAGCAAAAATAATCCGTTTACAGTTTAAGATACCATACCTTAACGGTAGTATTATTATGTCACATGATTTACTTTAAAATCCGCCATGTAACCAACTTTTAAGTATTTTGTCACATGATGAGGTGTGGTAACTGGTAAAAAGTAAAATAACAAAAATACCGAACTCCAAGGAAAATTTAAAACAGAAAGTTCTTTATCAAACGGCAAAATCAAAAGGTCAAACACACCAAACGAACGGAAAACAACTTCAAGGGGGTACAGGCATTTCCTTATGTAGAAAATGGTGGATTAAACCTAGTTTTATAACTAGCTAAACCTCTCACTTATATGACAGTCGCATACAAAAGATTTCCCAATAAGGAATTATTTAAGAAAATTGATCCTAACTCAGAATCCCAAAAGGTGTTAACATACCAACTAGTCATTGTTTGATCCCATTTTTATTTGCAACAGAAAAAACGTACCACTTACACTCTTATATAGTTGTGTTGTTGGATTGCCGTCTCATTAACATCTTCTTTAATTATACCAACCAATAAAAACAGTATCACCGTAACTCCTGTTCTTTCACAACTAATAACTGTATGACTCTTCCCTGAATCTCACCTAATGAACAGTGAATCTATCTCTTAAGATTATAGTGTAAAGCACTAGCTGTAACGCACCTGTTGAGAGAGTCCAGTGATGGTGTGAATGTAATATTAACAGTTTTCATCCCTCTTTAATTTGCATGAAGCATTGAATTTGTATCATATGATATATTTACTTCAAATCAAACTACCTAGAAATGTTTGGCTTTTGCGTATAAAAGAAATGCGTGTCCTTCTATGTTGTAAAATTGACCCGAAAGTTTTACGAGAACGTAAAGTTAAACCTTAACTGCAGTCAACATCTTTTAAAGACTGAACAATGAAATACATGTACTATGAAATACTAAATTTGGTATTCAAAATTTAAATTAATCACGATTGAACGCATTACAGTGTAGGTCAAGTGTACAGCAAGTGGAAGGTAACCGCGTCATTCAAAATATAATATAAAAATAAGAAGATGTGGTGTGAATGCCAATGAGACAACTCTCCAAAAGAGACCAAATGACATAGGAATTAACAACTATAGGTCACCGTACGGCCGTCAACAATGAGCAAAGCCCATACCACATAATGTTTGTATTGCATACGTTGTTGTAGTATATCCTATTAACCATAAGGTGCCTTAATTGATACAATGCAATATGAAATTATTTATCCATTATTCGAATACTAGTATCATAATATGATATATCTGTTAAACGCATGATTAAACCCCTATTAGGGGCTTATTTAATTTGAACAAAAATATCATATGTTAATTATATATATAACCCTTCCTTTTCAGGCTTGAATATGATTACTTCTGACAACGACCGTATCACGTGACTTACGTGTGATGCATAACATCAGAAGACGCCATTAGTGCCAAAGAATTCCGAATGGTGCCCAGACTATGACACAATACTCAAATATATGTGTTCAGATATTGCTTTAGTGCCTTAAATCGTAGTGCAATTGTGTTTACATATATGTTTAAATGCTGTTTTAAGCTGTAATATGCTTTAGTAAGCTTATTGTTTAGGCTACTAATCGCAATCTTTTTTGTGTGCAATCTTGCCAGGACTATGATATTATATGTGTATAGACAGTGTCGAGAGGAGAAAAAAAATCAAGTCATGTGCCAATGGTATGTTTGTATGTGTTTGCGTATGTATGTGTGTGTGTGTATGGCAGAAAATGTTTGCGAGGCTGTAGCCACTTTACTAAGTGTATTATCCTAATAAAACAGTGATTGTGCATTCTCCTGTTTCGTCAATACTGGTAATGTTTGCAGTATAACTGAATAACTTGTGCCTGTATCTAAACAGTACACTAGAATATTAATCTATTTCTGTTGCTAAAAGGGTTTCTGGAAGGGACATGCATGCAAGTTGGTGTACCTTTTTTTTTGTATGTGAAAATCAAAGACTTCATTTTTTGTATTCATGTAAAAGGTAACTGTGAAATTTGTTAAAACTGATCAACGTCAGTATTTCTTTCTATCTATAATTGTAATTCACGCTTCATTAGATACGTCTAAAGAAGCAACCAGTATTTGACTTACACAGAATTTATACGTCATCCCACACTATACTGTATGGGTTTTTTTCATTGTCGAAGGCCGCACGATTGCCTTGAATTGCTTACTTTTACTTCATTTGAACTCTGGTGGATAATTGTCTCTTGGCAATCATACCACATCTTCTTAGTTTTATATTAACCGTTTATACATCTGTTATGGTCAGGATTATCTTCCGTTTCCCGTGTAATACATCTGTAATGGTCTGGATTATCTCTCGTTTCCCTCGTAATATATCTGTTATGGTCTGGATTATCTCTCGTTTCCCGCTTAATCCATCTGTAATGGCCAATGAAAAAAATTCGACGTTGATTATGTCCCATTTATTAGAACAAATCTTAACTTCAAACTTACTCAGAATGCTCCAGACTCAGAAATTACATGTTATAAATTCAATGGTAACCCATTACCATCTTCAGACAAGTTAGTTGTCCTAGACATTATCCCTATGGTGAATTGTAAGGAATGATTTGGCGAGCGTGGGAGAGACTGAGCGATACTGATTAGATGGTGCTGATTGTATATATAACATAACTGTTTAGTATGTATTTATTTTTATGTTTATTCTTATTAAGCTTGTTCAGAGAAACGTTCACCTGTTGTGATATTCGCGAATTTAGAATCCAAAGGACACTGGGTTAATGCATTGTTCGTGCTACAAAATGATAAAAACGTCATATATTTTGTTGAACTTTAATTGTGTATGACGTTGTTAGGTGGGGTACGCTTTTGGAAATAGTACCCATATTACAATAGATTCTGAAACGGTTGAGTGTGCAGAAAAGATAAAGCTATGTTTTTTAAAATAGTTACTATAGTAATGTTTTAGAAACAAATTCTCATCTTGTCAAATGTAATTTACTTGAATTATTTTATACTAGAAGGAAAATTGTAATCTCGGGGTAATGGATTATCTTGTAAAAATTCTGTTAATTAAAATTTTAAACTAGATGGAAAGTCCCAAAGTTTGGGGTAAGGGTTAATACAAATCTAGCCGAAATTTCTTAATCAAATTTTAAACTAAAACGAAAGTCGTAGATTGGGGTAATAACAAATCTAGTCAAATTTTTTTTGATAAACAAATTTTAAACTTGATGGGAAGTCGTAAGTTTGGGGTAATTGAAAATCTAGTCGATTGTTTTAACCAAATGTTGAAATACATGGAATGTCATTAGTTTTGGGGTAATTGGAAATTTCTTTTAATTAAAACATGTGATACGCATACATGACGTATGTTTTAAGACGCCATTACTGGCAAACTACAGTAAGAAAATACAGTGAGCAATATAAAGATACAAGTATCTAGTCAATTATATTTATAATAAAGCCGTGTCAGTATTAACCCTGTCCATAAAGGTCCACGCCTTGTTGTTATGAAAACTATAAAAAAACGTTTTGTTTTTTTTTATAAACAAAGATGAAGACCTCCCCACCTACCGAGACCCTCACGTTCATGCTATTTTGTTAGGTACATGTTTAGAGAGCATCGAAATAAGAACGTATAGTTTTAAACTATTTAACAACGAGAGATTTAAGTATCATTCTATACAATTAAATTCATGATTGCCTCTAAACAACCTGATTGTCGGTATTAAATTACTAATAAAAACCAATGGTTTTCTGGTAACAACTTGACGTGGATCACGTGATTATGTTGTGTGGATCACGTGACTATGTTCTGTGGATCACTTGACTATTATCAGTATTAGACAATAAGTTATCTATGTAAATATATATAAATTATGTTGCCATATTATGTAGTTTATAATGAATTTCTATGTTGCATTATTTAGCTGTTAGATAAGTTATATTATTTGTATCTGATTTGTGTTTTCGCGTTACTTATATGAATTTTGATATGTTATTGTATGCTGTATATTTTATTAGGGAACGACCAATTAACTTTGAAAAGGGGTAAATGTTTTTCTTTATCATTCTGAAAAAAATCAAACAGCAAATTGTTTATATTATTGTCGCGAATTGTTTTTACTGAACCTTAACTTGAATGGCAAATACTTTCAATCAATTTTTTACCCTTCTCCCTAGGCCTGATCAAAATATTTTATTCTTCAATGTTGGAAATCGGAATAGTTCTAAGAGAAAAAAAATAATCACAACCCCCAGTCTCAGTGGTTATTCCCTTACACCTGACAGAAATTTCAAAATGGAACCATTTCAATCTGTTATAATGTATGACATAATTAATCTTAATAGCCATTTTATAATACTGTTTTATATAATTTGTATTTTGCCAGGCATTTTGATAATTTGTATTTTGCCAGGCATTTTGCCTCAGTGCTTATTTAATAAAACAATTTTATTAATACTGTATTGTTCGAAATTACAATTGATTTGATAACAGAAATACACTTACAATACGCCATCTTTTTACCAACATGTACAAATCATATAAACATACTGCTATCATGTCCCACATACACATACAAAACCTAACAATATTTGTAAATATAGCACTTTGATAATAATTACAACATGCACAATGTGCACCAAGTATACATTATTTACGTTTCTTCCAGTGCTCTCATATGGTATCGCACCGTATATTCCGGCCGAAATATTTCATTTAAATAATAATTAATGCAAGCCATAGATTAGTTGGACATTTTCACATGGTCTGGACCGTTATATTTTAATTTTATCTCGAGCTGTAGAAAAATAACAAACAGCACTTTTGTTAATGGAAAAACAACAAATAAATAAACAACCAGAAAACGTAAAGATTAAGCATCTGAAAAATGCGAGAGAAGGTGAAGGGATGCTGCGGTATAGGGTAGACAGTTTCATCAATGCAGTCTTGTTAATTTTGTTTAAATTCGAAATCTAGTTAAAAAATCTTGTTTGACTCATACATCATAGCGGTTGGTACAAGGCATTTTGTTTATAACTCTGTATACCTGACAGAGTGTCTCAGTTGAACACAGCTTATCTGGACAAAAGATGGACAAGGATATCTGGACAAAAGATGGACAAGGCTATCTGGAAAAACGATGGACAAGGCTATCTGGAAAAACGATGGAAAAGGCTATCTGGACAAAAGATGGACAAGGCTATCTGGACAAAAGATAGACAAGGCTATCTGGAAAAACGATGGAAAAGGCTATCTGGACAAAAGATGGACAAGGCTATCTGGACAAAAGATGGACAAGGCTATTGTTGTTGTTTGTTGTTTGTACTTGTTTGTTCGTCTGTGTTTTCCCGAGAAGTCATGTGTTAGTGACGGCGGTGTATTCTTTCGTACTATCCACAACTTTCGGTACTAGTAACTTGTTTATCCTTTTTGAGTATTACTAAATAACTACACAAATACTGAAAAAAATGTAATATACAAAACACAATAAAAAAAGCAATACGAATACAACTAAACATTGGAATGAACTAGCAATCTAGAAGTTTACAACAACAAAAAAGGGGGGGAAGGAAGTATTCACTGAAAATGGACAATTGAGGATCTGGATGGGTCAATATTAATAAGAATAATGGACAAAAAATGAAATAAAGTAAGTGGGGTGGGATAATGTCAAGAATTGAGAGTAGATGGCCTAAAAATATTTAGAAAAGAGAAAGTAGCCTAACATACTTCATAACTGAATGGAAAGACCAAATCAATATATCTGAATATATAATTAAAGGGGTTTGCTTCCTGTCTTTAGGCAAGTTTTGAATAAAGTTAAACAAAACCATATCGAATAGCAGGGAAGCACAGATAACACTCATTGGAATACCGAGTAAGGGGAAACAAAACCATATCGAATAGCAGGGGAGCACAGGTAATACCCATTGGAATACCGAGTAAGGGGAAACAAAACCATATCGAATAGCAGGGGAGCACAGATAACACCCATAGGAATACCGAGTAATGAAAACAAAACCATATCGAATAGCAGGGGAGAACAGATAACACCCATTGGAATACCGAGTAATGGAAACAAAACTATATCGAATAGCAGGGGATCACAGATAACACCCATTGGAATACCGAGTAATGGAATATCAATCTTAAAAAATAACAAATATGTGCATAAGACTTGGATGGAGAGTTGTCTCACTGGCAATCATACCACATCTTCTTATTTATATAAGAGAAAAGGTTTAAATAAAAAAAAAAAGAAAAATGAATAGGATAGTACAATTAAGTTGAGCAACATTTCATAAATTCTATCCCTTTTTTCACAATAGGAAAACCAATATCATTTCCTGTGTTTCAACAGCTTCATAACAACAGCTTCTATTAACTCTTTAAATTACTTCTGAAACTAATATGGAAATAATATGAATTTGTTTACTGTTTCCTTGTGCTGAATACATGATCAAATGACAATCTGAAGTCTTTTACACTGAGGGTTGTAAAAAGGGAAGCAAATGCTAAGAGGGACATGACAGGTGAAAATAACCGACACCACCGTGAACCATGAGAAAAAACAAACAGACAGACACCAATCAACAAAACGCTACACGGAAAACTAATGTTTAAACAACTTCAATCTGAAAATAAACGGTGGATCAGGTCAGGTGCTCCGGAATGGTTATCAATTCATTCGTCAGACGTGTCAACCGCAATGTTGCTCGCGGCAAGCTAGAATCCATTCATAAGTCGCATTCAGTAAAACGTACGCAGAAGAACGGGATTGTGGCTAATGCTATTACAATGTATATTTTATCATTTGTAAAGCAGAATGAGATCAAAATTACATTAAACAAGAGATTTTTCATTTCAATGAAGTTAAAACCTGTAAATATAATAAATCTGTTGATATCACATGTACTTTTAAAATACATGTAGCAAAGGATTATGAAGAAAGAAAAAAAAAACACGCATTACATATAGGAAGTTGTAGAAAAGATATATATAATAAAATATAATGACCTTTCACACGTTAGTTGTGTACTGTATGTAAATGCTGCATAATACAATGTAATCCTATAATAGAAATGTTGAATACACAATACACGTGTAACAACATGATGTACACAGTGCACTGTACTAACTTGGAATTTTTCAGACGTAATGGTGTTGACTTCAATAGAAATTAAATTAACTACAGCGTAGATCAAGAATATTTACCGGACATGAATGCAAGGGTAACGTAAGCTTCAAAGTCCTGACACCCGAAACAAACAAATAAATAAAATGATAACATAAGTTCCAAATCCTGCCAACCGCGAGGAATACAAATAATTCGAAGGTTAACGTCAGCACGGGGGGGGGGGGGGGGGGGGGGGGGGTTACTTCGATATGTTTTTTGGTAGGGTTGTACCATCTTTGCCTCATGAAACGTACCCATTTTAATATAACATTCACTGAAATTCAGTACCTATAGTTATATAAATATTTAAGAAAGAATGACCTTTACTTATATACAATATTTAAAATATGACCCATGCTTATATAAGCACTAAATCTATATCATCACTCATAATTCATAAATATACAGCTACCCTTAAGTTTTTATATATGAATTGACATCCGGGTTCATTTGGGAACTTATTTGAAAGTTGAACTTTCAAATGAATTGATTTGATTTAATATAATAATTGACCATTAATAACGTAAGATTCTCAATAGCATATTCAAACTTATTCGTTTAGTTTATGTTTACTTGTTTTTGTTTTAATGTCTTTTTGATCGAGTTAAGCCATTTCAATTGATATTTTATAGTGCGTCTTTTTATGTTGTAATGTTATACTACTGTATCAGGTTAGGGCGAAGGTTGGCGCCTGTTAAAACGTTTAAACCCGCTGCATTGTTATTTACCTATCCTAAGTCAGGAGTCTGTTTTTCAGTGGTTGTTGTGTGTTGGTGTGGTTCATAGGTGTTTCTCGTTTCTCGTTTTTTTATATAGATTAGACCGTTGGTTTTCCTGTTTGAATAGTTTTACACTAGTCATTTTGGGGCCCTTTATAGCTTGCTGTTCGTTCGTTGTGAGCCAAGGCTCCGTGTTGAAGGCCGTACTTTAACCTATAATTGTTAACTTTTTTTATACATTGCGATTTGGATGGAGAGTTGTCTCATTGGCACTCATACAACATCTTCTTATTTATATTATATATGATATGTAGATCATACCCAAATCAATATACAGCTATCAAACGTAAATGCATTTTAACATAGGATGTCTTAAAAAGGAGGGTAATTTTTATATAAAATCGCGCAAAATTATGACCCATATTTTTGGCACATTCCCGTATACCAAATAATAGGAAGTAATCACTCCCCGTGAACGTGAGCTACAAATTCCTGACCCTCGCGGTTCAAACAAATAAAATTTAGGGTAATGTAAGCTTCAAAGCCCTGACCCATCGCGTGACAAAAATAAATAAAATGGTAAAGGAAGCTACAATGTCCTGACCCTCGCGGGACACACTAATAAATGAAATGGTAAAGTTAGCTAGAAAGTCCTGACCCTCGCGGGACACACTAATAAATGAAAAGGTAAAGTAACCTAGAAAGTCCTGACCCTCGCGGGACAAACTTATAAATGAAACGGTAAAGTAAGCTAAAAAGCCCTGACCCCCGCTGGACAAACTAATAATTGAAATGGTAAAGTAAGCTACAAAGCCCTGACCCCGCGGGACAAACTAATAATTGAAATGGTAAAGTAAGCTACAAAGCCCTGACTCCCGCGGGACAAACTAATAAATGAAATGATAAAGTAAGCTACAAAGCCCTTACCACCGCTGGACAAACTAATGAGTTAAATGGTCAAGTAAGCTACAAAGCCCTGACCCCCGCTGGACAAACTAATAAATGAAATGGTAAAGTAAGCTACAAAGCCCTGACCCTCGCGGGACAAACTAATAAATGAAATGGCAAAGTAAGCTACAAACCCCTGACCCATCGCGTGACAAAAATAAATAAAATGGTAAAGTAAGCTACAATGTCCTGACCCTCGCGGGACAAACTACTAAATGAAATGGTAAAGTAAGCTAGAAAGTCCTGACCCTTGCGGGACAAACTAATAAATGAAATGGTAAAGGAAGCTAGAAAGCCCTGACCCTCGCGGGACAAACTAATAAATGAAATGGTAAAGTAAGCTACAAAGCCCTGACCCCCGCGGGACAAACTAATAATTGAAATGGTAAAGTAAGCTACAAAGCCCTGACTCCCGCGGGACAAACTAATAAATGAAATGGTAAACTACAAAGCCCTGACCCTCGCGGGACAAACTAATAAATGAAATGGTAAAGTAAGCTACAAAGTCCTGACCCCCCCGGGACAAACTAATAAATGATATGGTAAAGTAAGCTATAAAGCCCTTACCCCTCAATGACAATCGATAACCCTCATTTATACATATATATATATATATATATTAGACCTGTTAGTCAAATGCGTTTTGTTAAAATATACTTTTTCTTTCACTTTTTTGGTCTTTTGGAAAATGTTGTTTGTGCTGTATTTAGACCCCTCTAACAAGAAATTTGTTTTGCATGTTCACGTATAAAAATTGCGGTTTTTATCCAACGCAATCATAGGTTTGAACGTTGTTTTCAATTTATACTTGTTTATATTTTTTCGTTTGGGCTTGTATTATATTTGCCTTCGGGTTTATATGATCCGTTCATCCTATTTTGACTCCTCAAAATTCAAGAATCTATCCTAAATTGAGGTAAATTGTATGGCTTTCCAAATACCGTTTCGATTCCTAACATCACTGAAGAGACATTAATTGTCGAAATCCGGATATGGTGTACAAAAACCTTTGCACCTTTTGTTTGCGGTATACCATCTTTTCCGCAAGTTTATTGTTTTCTGTTTAGTATTAAATTTATAATTAAGATCCATTTATTACATCAGTGATCCGTTTATTTGGCAATCGCCAATGGTAGTCAGCAGGGTTTAAGAACATTTGTTGTTCGACCTGTTAGTCAAATGCGTTTTGTTAAAATATACTTTTTCACTTTTTTGGTCTTTTGGAAAATGTTGTTTGTGCTGTATTTAGACCCCTCTAACAAGAAATTTGTTTTGCATGCACACGTATAAAAATTGCCGTTTTTATCCAACGCAATCATAGGTTTGAACGCTGTTTTCAATTTAGACTTGTTTATATTTTTTCGTTTGGGCTTGTATTATATTTGCCTTCGGGTTTATATGATCCGTTCATCCTATTTTGACTCCTCAAAATTCAAGAATCTATCCTAAATTGAGGTAAATTGTATGGCTTTCCAAATATATATATCAGAATTACACAAAGATTCAGAACATACAATTAAAATTCTGAATTCCTACTTTCTCACACTTCACTCTAGTCCAGTCCTTCCACGGTTTGTTTTGTTTATCATTCCCATTGTCCTACTGCACGATCAAGATTGATGGGGGTTTTCGATTGTCATTGAGGAAATCGTTGTCGATAGTCGATGATGGTTTTCGATTGTCATTGAGGAAATCGTTGTCGATAGTCAATGAGTAAATCGTTGTCGATAATCGATGAGTGTTTTCGATATTAATTGAGGAAATCGTTGTCAATAGTTGATGAGGGTTTTCGATTGTCATTGAAATCTTTGTCGATAGTCGATGATGGTTTTCGATTGTCATTGAGGAAATCAGTGTCGATAGTCGATGAGGGTTTTCGATAATCAATGAGGAAATCGTTGTCGATAGTCGATGAGTGTTTTCGATATAAATTGAGGAAATCGTTGTCGATAGTTGATGAGGTTTTTCGATAGTCGGTGAGGATTTTCGATAGTCGATGAGGGTTTTCGATAGTCGGTGAGGGTTTTTGATAGTAGATGAGGGTTTCAGATAGTCAATTACTTAGGGTTTTCGATAGTCGGATTAGGATCTTCGATAGTCGATGAGGATTGTCGAAAGTTGATGAGAGTTTTCGTTAGTTTTCTGTCACCGTTTTACGCAAACTCGGCGTATGCTCTTATATATAATCAGCGGTGTACGTAGAATAATTTAAAAGGAGAGCATGGACGGTCACACCGGAAATCTATGACTTAAAGGAGGCGTTAATTAAAACTTATATCACAAATATTCGGTCATAACGGATCCGCCCTTATTATATATATAACTAGCGCTTGTGTGTCTGTGTGTCTGTGTGTCTGTGTTTCTGTTTTTATATGTGTCTGATTATGCCTCGCCTATGGTAGTAAAGGGGGGGTATAAAGTTTTCCGGGCTTTGCGTCCGTCCGTCAATTAGCCTGTCCATCCCATACAAAGTAAAAGTTTTTTTTGATAGGGTGGTCAGATCAACTTAAAACGTAGCCCTCGTGTTCATAATGATTTGAACTGTTTAAGTTGTAAACCAATTAACGATATTGACCCGCTGTCATGGTTTACTGAACATAGCAAATTAGTTAATTCTTAGATTAACGTTTTTGGTTAAGGTAGTTCGCATTGAAGTTGTGGTCACATCGATTAGAAACCTATTACTCGTGTTAAACTTTTAAAATTTTATGTAAAATTTTGATTTTCACCCTGATGCCACTGTTCAGGGAACATGTGGACCTATAGACACCTATTCCTGTCTTTTTTGTTGATTTAGTTTGTTGCCAATAACACAATGTTATAGAAATATGATTGATTGATTGTTGATTGCTTGACGTCTAGTGGCAATTATAGAAATATGACATAGGTATAAATAATAGTAAATAATACACACATAATACCAGATTTCCAACTAATTTATTTCCCGGTTCGTCAAAGAACAGATGATGCTTCGTCGTTACGAGTGCGTATATCACGTGATCCCACATTGAACTTTTTACCAAACGGGAATCGTCCTGTTCTTTCTATCAGACGCTTAACTCTGATATGATTATCTGGTTCCAGTATATCAGTGAAGGCGATACCAGTCGGTGTCAAAGTAGCTGTTGTAGTCATTACATATTTATCTTTCTCTTCCCGTTCTTTTGAAACACATAGTTGTCTACTGGCGTCGCAGTATAAATCCTCACTGTTCATACAATCAGGACAAACAGGTCCATAACTATACTTTGTCAATGCTGCTAGCTCGTGGCCATATCCCTGGCGATTTGTCAAATGTTCTACATCCGGGAAAATTGGGACCCATATCATTTTGTGGTCCGGACCATGGTTTTTAATTGATTTTGTTGGATAATTTTCTGCTGGGTCGATGCCTTTTGAAATTAATTTTTGCCTATAAATTTCAAATATTTTATCGATAAACGCGTGAATTGGGAAGAAAATAGGATCAAAAGTAGTTGTATTTGAAGGTCCAATCGTACCACTTATCCAATCATGAATCCCTTTATGAAAACATTCCCAACTATATTGTGTCCTGTCTTCTTTAGTACACGGGGAAGATTCGGTGAATTCGTATAGTGTTGGCTTTTCTAACGCCATTTTGATGTCATCTTTGGATACAAGCCATGCGGCATTGTTTATGTTCCGAATGATCGGAAGTAAAGTGGGCAGGTTTTTCATAATTCCATTTTGAACTATGCCGTAACCATTGCCAAAGTACTTGTCTGACCAGACGACAGATTCCGTGGGATCGTTCATTGCATGGTCTGGTGTAGTATCCCAATATGGGATAGGACAACCTAAAGCAGTCTCCATTCTGAAATATATTTTTCGAATTATTTAGTAATCACGGGTTAAAACTTAAGTTTGTGAATGAATTCAAACATTGACGACCAACTTTCCATAAATGATCGAAGCTAGCTAATTCGGCTAAGTTCGGTGAGCAGCCGACGTTGCTTCGAAAGTTTTGAGACACGAATACGGATTTTGCAAGTTACCATGTTCCGAGTACACCTCTTTATTTTCCTGATCAGAAGCAGGACAAAAGATGTAATTCAAACAATAGTTAGAAAAGAGGTGGAAGATATATATGGGAAAATAATAAAAAAATCCTAATTCAAAAGAAAAAGCGACAATACAATAGCCAAAGGCAAAATGACAAAGACAAACTGCTGTTACAATATACAGAATATTATACAGAAAACTTAAGAATGAGCAACATGAACCCCACAAACAAACCGGGAACGGTCTCAGATAATCCGAAAGAGTGAGCAGATTCCGCTCAACTAGAGGCAATCGTCGAATGTACAGATGGCAAATTAAAACATCTGCATCCGTTAAATATGAAAGCATGCCTTCTTCTACTCAAATATTGCATATAATACGTGTTTATAGATTCCATATACACCAAGTCACACAAATATAATTTACATATTTTTACGTTGATTTGGCTTACCTTCTTAATTTAAACTTTCCAAATTTTCTTATTGAGAGAAACTATTATGCTTATATTCGTAAATATTCTCGGTGCCATACAAAGATACCTGGTCCCTCATGCGCTGTGGGAATGACATAATCTGCAGTGTGTAGACTTACTACACCATTATACTTACATTCGTAAATATTCTCGATGCCATGCAAAGAAACCCGGTCCGTCATGAGCTGTAGGAATGACCTTATCTGCAGTGTGTAGATTGGCTACGACGTCATATGTGTTCATGTCTGGTCTAATATCCTATAAAGTGGATGAAGACAATCAGATTTAATAAAAAAATTTCTAAATACAACTGGATATACTTTTCTTTAGTGTTTTATAAATAGGACATAATACCGACAAATTAAAAAAAGAGAATGTTACAGCAGTTTATACACGACATAATGATCAGTGTTTTAAAAATCAGCGAGCTAGACAAAATTATGTTTTTTCTATAAAAAGACAAGTGCCAACATAACACTGCAGGTAAGACACATGTCAGCATTGCACTACAGGTCAGACGAATATCAGCATTACAGTGATGGTAAAACACATATCAACATTATAGTGCTTGTAAGACACATATCGACATTACAGTGCGATGAGATACGTGTCAAAGCACACTGCTTGTAAGACACATGTCAACAATACACTAATTAGACACATGTCAACAATATACTGCCGGTAAGACAAATATCAGAAATACACTGCATTAAAACATGTCAACATTACACTGCTGGTAAGACTCGTGTCAACTGCTGGTAAGACACGTGTCAATATTACACTGCGGTAAGACATACGTCAACACCACAATGCGATAAGACACAAGGGAATAGTATAGGACAGATCAGACTCATTTGCATTTTACACTGCAGTAAATATACTGCCAACCTTATTATCTGTTGGTGTATGCTTTTGCATTGATACTTAATTATTTCCTTACAACTTCAGAGTTCACACTTGAAGCTGCCATACTTTTGGGGTAATTGACAATAACATACTTTTTTTTAAAATTCCGCTGGTCTGAAATTAATTCAGGTGAAATTATGTTTACCTCTTTTATCGAAGAAAGATTCATTATTGAGTTATATGTTTATACATGCAGAAATTTAATCTAATAAAAAGTGTTTTCAGCTTTTTATTGATATAATGGCAATAAACGTATTTGTTTTATAATTGTCTTTTTGATCTTTCAATTTGGTTTAATACATTTATTGATAAAGTTATTATTAAACTATTTATTGTTTTATTGTCGCGTCTAAATTGTTATTGTTTGACGATTAGTATAGATTATATAATACCCTTCCTTTATAGGAATTAAATGCAAAAATCTTAAAGAGGCATTTAATATAAAGTTTTATTTTTATTAGAATTCACACACATGATATCTCATAATGTGCTCATTAAGCATGGTAAAACTTTCAAATTTGACCAAAGTTTTTTTTGTTATTCTATGTCTGTTTGCTGTGTGTTTTTTCAATGAAGTTTTAGATGAAAAAAGAAAGACCAAAAACAGATTAAAAAATCAGTAGAAATTAATATTTTTAAGGGGACATTTGAACTTATAAATCAGTTTGTTCTAAATCAGATTATTAGGTTTAGAAAAATGCTTAATGATAATGTGTAGTTTTCTACATTTTTTTTGTATACATGTTTCAGAAAAATGGAATCAAATTATATGGCAGATTAAGTTGACGTGTGTCTTTATTTTGTTTGTCTTCTTCTTTGTGACTGGTTGGTAGGTTTTGAAAATAACATAAAGCAAAACATAGAAGAATCAGACATGCATGGCTTAAACAAATTCTCGCATGCAGTTCCAGGCAATATTTGTTAACTGTCCTATAATAAGGAATAAAAAAATTGAAAACAACATGTTTAATAATTTCATGCGTCCGAAGCGCTGCACCGAAGAAAGAATCTTTATGTAACTGCAAAACTTACATAGCTCTGTTTCAGACGTCTAACGGCTTTGACATACCGACCCCAGTTATCTTCATATGGGGGCTCTCTTATTTCCTTCCGGGTCAAAACTCCAATGCCAAATATACTCCTCTTCTTCCGCTTCTGGTAATCAGCTATCCCAGAATGCACTCCTCTTAATAAATGGCCGACATAGTTGGCTACGTTGTTGTCCTCCATATTAGTTTTCCATATTTGTGTCTGTTGTATAAATAAATCGTTACAGTTCTGACGGATTTCAGTTAAAGACAAATTTCTCATTTCTGCTTCTACTAAATCGTAAATAATACAGTCAGCGTAGTTACGTATCTGTGGCAAGTCGCCATTACTCTCCACAGAATTATTTCTTTTTAGCAAGTCATTATCCGTTTTCATAAACAATAATTTTTCATTTTTGGATATCCATACCAAATTCATTAAGAGGGTCCAACGTAGAAATAGGGTCCACATCGTCTAAAAGTATAAAAGTGATGTAGTAAGTTAGGCACCATACATTTAAGTTCCAAGGGGTTTAATTTTTTAGAGGAGACAGAAAGGCAGGGATGAAGGAATGAGGAGGCGGAAAGGCAGGGATAAAGGAATGAGGAGACGGAAAGGCAGGGATGAAGGAATGAGGAGGCGGAAAGGCAGGGATGAAGGAATGAGGAGGCGGAAAGGCAGGGATGAAGGAATGAGGAGGCGGAAAGGCAGGGATGAAGGAATGAAGAGACGGAATGAGGAGACGGAAAGGTGGGGATGAAGGAATGAGGGGACGGAAAGGCGGGGACGAAGGAATGAGGAGACGGAAAGGTGGGGATGAAGGAATGAGGAGACGGAAAAGCATGGAAGAAGGAATGAGGAGACGGAAAGGCAGGGATGAAGGAATGAGGAGACTGAAAATCAGGGATAAAGGAATGAGGAGACGGAAAGGCAGGGATGAAGGAATGAGGAGGCGGAAAGGCAGGGATGAAGGAATGAGGAGACTGAAAATCAGGGATAAAGGAATGAGAAGACGGAAAGGCAGGGATGAATGAATGAGGAGGCGGAAAGGCAGGGATGAAGGAATGAAGAGACGGAATGAGGAGATGGAAAGGTGGGGATGAAGGAAAATAGGGGACGGAAAGGCGGGGACAAAGGAATGAGGAGACGGAAAGGTGGGGATGAAGGAATGAGGAGACGGAAAAGCATGGAAGAAGGAATGAGGAGACGGAAAGGCATGGATGAATGAATGAGGAGACTGAAAATCAGGGATAAAGGAATGAGGAGACGGAAAGGCAGGGATGAAGGAATGAGGAGACGGAAAGGCAGGGATGAAGGAATGCCACATTCTCACTACTAGATTGTTTTTTTTTTTTTAAATCTATCAAAATGTATAAAGAGATTGTTCATAACGCTGATTCGTTTATTTTAGCCCACTGTCTGAGATCTGAGGTCTTTATTTTTGGGGGTATTTAACGCCACTTTCATGGAATTTTGCTAAATCAATGCGGCCAGTTTTTATTGGTGGTTAAAACAGCAGTACCCGGAGAAAATCATCTACCTTCAGCCGGAATACTGACAGTCCTTGTGAATTAAGTTTGGAGTCGAGCACAACTCGCTACTAGCATGGTTCGAACTCAAAACCTCAGAATTGACGGGCTAGTGATAACTGTAGATGAACTATTTAGACCACTCTGCCACCAATGTCTCTTGGGTTTTATCGCTTTTCAAGAATATTTCATAACTGCATTGTTAAGGTTTCGTGGTCCTCAACCCCCCAAAACACACACGCACACACATGCACAAACGTTTCTAGCACCTACCTAAAACTGAACTCTGGTTTGTCATCAAATTGTATTGGAATAGTGTTCAGGAACAACGGTAAACTTATCATAATTCTTATAATTAAATCCTTTCAATAGACATATTAAAAGTTGAACCAATACTTACACAAATCGCTTTCAATTATCCATGTCATGCGCACAAAAAAATCTTTTATTTATTGAGAAATGTATTATTATTTTAAAGGTAAATATTCGTTAAGACCAAAAATTATATGTCCCTTAACCAACATGCCAATATTTATGACACGAGGAAAAATTTGTATTCAATTGAAGTAATGTATGGGCAACTTCACTTAAATATTATTTACTAGTGTAACAGGTCGGTGAGGAAAAAAGGGGGGGGGGATAAGTGTTCGACATCTACATGACGTAACTTTGTTTACCTTCGTCGGTAATCGGGAGAGAGGTAAATCAATTATAAATGAACCATTATTATATATCGAATAATCAAGTAACAAGCCAAACATAATCAAATGACATCACGAACAAGAGTATTATCAAAAGAAGCGTTAAACAATGTAGGAATTCAGTAATTCGCGTTGTGTTTTATAATTTAGCAACTCGAGTGAACACTATAGTATTTCTACAAGAACACATGCACTTGTCTCTGAAAAAATATTCCTATATACCTTAATATAACAGGAAGTTTTTTTTATTTAAAGACATGTGCTTGTGTACAAGAAGTTTTTTTTTTTTATTGAAACTGAATATATTATGCATGAGAGTGTCAGCATATCAGTGGACTCATACATGTAGAGAGCATGCGCAGTAACATTAAAGTGGTGTAAGAGTCAAATACGTTAAAAGTTAAATCAACGGAGCTTCTTTACATTCTAATATGTTTAAATAAAATTAGACATAAAATGAACATTTTATTAAGAAAACAATGAACCGAATATAAAAAAGAGACTATATCCAGTTCACGTCCATTACAATTCTAACTACTTATTAACAAATGTTAATGAAGTTGATATATATATAAAGACCTAATAGTTTAACCAAACAATATATAAGTTGAAAGGCATTTTACAAAATGCCTGAAATTATTTTATAGAATGAAAATGTGCATAGCCGTTGAAAGTAGTGAACAACAGAGAAGTTTTATTTATAATAATTACTGAATTTTAATGCTTTCATTTTAAGAGTTTTAATAATAAAAAATAAACCCTTCTGAAATATTTAATATTCTCAAAAGAACTGAAATATTTATTATTCACAAAAGAACTGAATTATGTGTTATTTCATGAAATTTGTGGATGGCAAATCTAGTCTTAGCACTTTGTTTTCGGATTCTAAATGATCAACTGACGGGATGTTGTTGTTGTTCTGTATCTTTCCTCCACTGTCTGGAGAACTGTAGTGTTGTATATGGTTACACAACACTTCATAACATATATATGCACTGTCCCACTTTTACTACAATACTAAAGAGAAGTCTATGTACACATTAAGAGCGGGGTGGTCCCTACTATGTTTCAATCACTCAATCATGAAAGTATGATAAATGTCAAATGAGATTTAGCACATTATTACCCAGCAAACACAAAAACATCTTTAAAATGTTTTTAAAATGTTGTGTCTAATGTCATGAAAATATCACAAAAAAACGTGAGAAAAACATTAAATGTATGGTAGAATATATATCGCTAAAACGTTTTCTAATATATTTTCTAAAATATTTGCATAATATAATTAAAATGTTGTAAAGAAATATCATGATAATGTGAAAAACAATGGCGTATAAAACATTTTGATAATCTTTTAAAAAATATTTTCTACAAATATTTTCTGAACGTTTGAAAAACATCATGAACATCAAATAATGTTATAAAAATGTTTTTTGGATGTTTTCTTGCAAGTGAGACTGTGCCTAAAAAATGTTTTCAAAATGTTTTAAGGAGATGTTTTTGGTTGATATCTAGATTATATCAATATAAAATTTTCTCTCCTTTTGATTGAGTTTCCTGCTTTTTTAAATAACAAATCATTAGTTAAATTTATTTATACACAGTGATTAATTCTATATACAAACAAGAATAAATCAGTTGTTTTGCTAAGCATATGAAATTCACAATTCAAAGTCTCTAAAAACAAGAAGTATCTACAAATTTTGACACATCCAAAATGGCAGACACAACTCATCATGGTCAAGCCACTTACCAAATATGAAGTCATTCTGTTCATCAACATTACTAATTAAAGTAATGAAAAATTTGAGAACATTCAACATTTTGAAATACAATGTATAAGCGAACAGGAAACGGGTGCTAGATACAAAAATGTTCACACATCACAGTTCATCACTATCAAGCAGCTCATTAAATATGAACTCATCTTTATCAGCAGTTTTGGGAAAAACAGTGATGAAAATATTTGTTGGACAAAATCCGACAAATATAGGTGGACAGACAATTGACAGTGCAAGAATGCCCACATTCCAACCACAATGGTATAATGTTTAGTTTTTCACTCTCAACTTTTATTACCTATCTTATACACATCATGCATATGTCAACCTGAACATGCATGACATATATGCCATTGGACATTATGCAAACATTATACACATTTTTAAGTTCAAGTTACATTGACTAAAACTTGTGTCCCAAATTCAGATTTTTCAATACAACTTCTCTTTCTAAACTAAAACGCTACACTTCTAATAGGGTTACATCTTAAGTCAATAATCATTGATAATTGGCTGAAGAGATGAGAACAAAACACCATTTTACATCAACTACATGTATTTGATTTATTTAAGAATACATTGAAAAGTCAATCAATTGTGTTATTCAAAATCACTTGGAATGTCTTGTAGTGTCTTATATCTTTTTCTTGCTGTGCCATGCTTCTGAAAAAAAAATTAATCTTACATTCATATATAAACTTCTTACACATTCCTTTATCATAGAACGATTCACGTTGCCTGAAGGATATACATCCCCTCCCCTTTAAAGTTTTGAAACAAATAACGATGATAGTCTGTCGGAAGGGGAAAATAAATGGCTGACCGTGTTAAGAGAGAGCAATATGCCACGCTGAACTTCATTTAGTTATTTAAACAAGAGTGCACACGCTGAAATGTCTCGCCTTCTTTACTAATCATTGATATTATGTTGATAGTCTTAAATATAAAGCTTTACTACAACTATCACATACACTTAACATGATCCAAGAAAATGAGGTCAAGGTCATATAAACCAAACAAGAAATACATGTACACCTTACAATCATTCAATACACTAAATATAGTTGACCTATTGTCTATAGTTTCTAAGATACAGACTAAATCAAGAAAACTAAACATTGACCAATGAACCATGAAAATGAGGTCAAGGTCAGATGAACCATGCCAGGCAGACATGTACAGCTTGCAATCCTTCCATACAACAAATATAGTTGACCTATTGCTTATAGTATTAGAAAAACAGACCAAAACACAAAAACTTTACACTGAGCAATGAACCGTGAAAATGAGGTCAAGGTCAAATAAAACATGCAAGACTGACATGTACATCATAAAATATTTCCATACACCAAATATAGATGACCTATTGCATATAGTATTAGAAAAAAAGACCAAAACTCAAAAACTTAACTTTGACCACTGAACCATGAAAATGAGGTCAAGGTCAGAAGACACCTGCCAGC